TGTCATTGTGCTTTTTGAGTGATGAAGCCTCCTTTTCGAACTCCTGGTCAAGACATGAGAGACCAAGACATTTGAAAGCACAATTACATTTAAAATACAGTCCCGTTATTGCACTAGGCATAATGCTTTAAAGAATTAGAAAACAAGTGACGCTCCACATAAAATTTTGCATTATCTCTTAAGTGAAAGAGATCCCTACCGTGTAGAAACAAATAATTTTACCTTTACAACGTTAAACATTATTTATAAAGTCATTTATCCATCAATAGAAGAAAGTTATTTCATTTTTCTATTTTAATAAATCAAGTTTGGTACATTTCTCTGAAGTCCAGAGAGTAGTTTGAGTTTGAGTAGTAATAAATAACAATTAGCACTGACTTTCCGAATGAGTGGGTGCACCCAGGAAAACTTCACTTCCTGATGATCATTTACACATTTTGGTGCACCCCAGTCAACATGTGGTGCACCCCAATCACCCCAGTCACATTTATTTATTGCAGTATTACTGGGATTTTATAACCGAGTTGCTACATCCATCGCAGCACAGGATGCCGTTTCTTTCATTCGTCTGCCAATAGAGTCTCTATCCTCGCCTTTCAGCGCATGACTGTAAGTCCATCCCGTACTGGCGCCGACCTAAAAAATCTTCTCTTACTATCGCACCTGGAGCGCACTCCACTTCCCTCTGCATCCCCGAGACTGGCCTGATCAGTGCTACTCAATACCCGCTCAATAAACAACAAGGCTCTTCTTTTATGTGACATTATCAAAGAAAAAAATCTGGACCTTCTGTGCTTAACCACAACCTGGCACAGACAAAATGATGGACTGCTGTTTAACCAACTAGTCCCCCCGGGTATGGTTTGTTTGACCTTCTGCGTCTCTCAGGCAGAGGAGGGGGCATCATTGTTATTTGCAACCTTTTTTACAATTTTATTCCTATTACTATACCTCCTCCCTCTTCTTTTGAGTGCCTTGTTTTAAATGTCTCTATCCCCTAATCTGCTTCCCTTGATCTAGGCCTCTCTGACCACTTAGCTATTATTTTCAATATGGAATTACCTGTTTCTAACACTTCCCCCTCATGCTCTGTAAATTTCCGCAACTGGCGATCAATTGATCACCCAAGGCTTGCAAATTCTATTCTGTCCTCCTTATCTTGTTTCTCTACCTCTGCCCGTCTAGAGGACAAAATACAGTTACTTGACAGTGTTCTTTTATCTACCCTCGACATCTTTGCTCCTCGAACCATCTCCTCTCACCCTGCCCCCCCGGTACATCGACCATCTGCAATCTATGAAGGCAGCCTCCCGCAAACTTGAGCGTAGGTGGAGTCTTTCTGACCTAAATGTACATTTATCAGGCTTGGAGAGATTATAAGGTTACAATAGAGTCTGCTAGATCCACCTACTTCTCTCACATAATTGAAAATCACCATGACAACCCCGGACATCTTTTCTCCACCATCAACAGCTTGCTAAAGCCAAACTTCCCCACCACATTACCTGCCTCATCACAACTTTGCAACACATTCTTAGATGTCTTTAGCATCAAGATCGACAACTCTCTCCGCTACACATATCATTTCCATACCTCCTCCCTCCTTATCCAACTTGTGGTTCCCTTCTCTCCAGCTTCTCTCTTCTTGACTCAACATCCCACAATAAACTAGTTAAACACATGAAACCCACCACTTTTATTTTAGATGCCATTCCCACCACTTTATTTCAGTCCTGTTTCTCTTCTCTCTGTCCTATTGTCCTCAATATTATAAAGGAATCCTTGAGCACTGGCATTGTACCAACGGTCCTCAAAACTGCTGCCCTTACTCCTGTGCCAAAAAGCCTAACATGGCTCTCGACAATCTTAACAGTTTTTGCCCCATCTCCAACTTTCCATTTCTTGCAAAAAGTTCTAGAACGCGCTGTCACATTTCAGTTAAATAACCACCTCATGACAATTAACCTTTTTGAACCCCTCCAATCTGGCTTCCGTCAACTTCACAGCACAGAAACTGCCCTGATCAAAGTCACTAACAATCTTCTAATAGCTTTTGATTCTGGTTCTCTTTCTATACTCATCCTTCTTGATCTCAGTGCTGCTTTTGACACTGATGACCATGACATCTTACTTTCTCATCTTGACACTGTGTTTGGAGTTTCTGACACTGCTCTCAGTGATCGCTGTCACTTTGACTCTCTTAACGGGTATAGGTCTGAAATTGGCCTTGTTAAGTCTGGTGTTCTTTAGGGCTTAATACTGGGCCCCTTGCTTTTTAGCATTTACATATTTCCACTTGGTCAGCTTTTAAGATCACATGGCCTCAGCTATCAATTCTATGCTGATGATACTCAAATATACACCCATACCAAACACTGATGTGGCTGTCTCTATTCTATCTAATTGTATCTCTGACATAAAACTTCATCTTAATAA